ATACCGAGAAGATGGAATATATTCTACGAGACAGGACCACATATCGTATACTAAACAAGGACCCAACTATAAAGATCAATTGAATCTTATGTGCCATGCTGAAAGATATGCATGGGAATGGGGAAATTGACGAATGGACAATAAATTCAATCGTAAGAAAGGACACACGACCACCAACAGCATACGGCTTATCGATGATACACACTAAGGCTGATAGTCAACAACAAGTATGGAGAAACACACAAATTAACAAAGTTTATATGTTTGAAACTCAAGAAATTAAATGAGACTATCGAACACGGTGAAACATTCGTATGAATTTGCTCAAAAAATAAAAAACATGGCACTAGAAAAAACGGACTTATTGGTAAGTTTCGATGTGGAATCGATGTACACAAATATCTCTGGAGAAAATGCGCTAACGGCCATGCTGGAAATGCTGGACCGAGAGGAGGATATCCTGGAATCACAACGGATCGGTAGGCAGTCGTTAACAAGACTAATCAACTTGCCAATAAGGACAACGGGAACATCTATGAACAAATATTTGGACTTCCCATCGGATCGCCGCTCTCACCACTTTTGTCAAATGTATACATGAACAAAATAGAAGAGAGCTTCAAGATGGCGGGTCAAGCCAATTCTATAAATCGAAAGGAGACTGCGACCATACCAAAGAATGGCAAAACTCACTGATGATGCCGGCGAAACGCTTGAGAAAGTACCAAGTCCACTGTCAGATGCTGGAAATCATGACATCTACTATGGCAGACGACTTCGGACTAGGTGCGTTGTACATAGTCACCCTGACAACAAGACCAAGTTGCAACAACGAGGTCAACCCACTACTATAAATCGAAAGGAGACTGCGACCATACCGGAGGCCACAACATCCTTGTTTTCATATCTTAAATAATAAGGTCTGCTGCAAGATTGAAGCCACAGGGCAAAGAAAAACAGGCGTCTAATCCATCTTTCCTAAAAAGTGTATTCGTCAACAGCTAATCAGAGCAAAGCAAGCAGTATGGTTGAGAAATAAATGAAAAGACTATTTTTGTGCCAAAGTATCTATTTGTATATTAAATCCATTGTATAAAGTATAAGAAATATAAAAAGTATTGTCAATAATGTGAATTTATATAAAAGTACCAAAATACAGATTATTTTGGGGACACAGATCCCAAAAAGATGTATTCGAAATTGGCATTATTGGATAGTTTCACAGACGAAAAACTTGAATAAAGAATGTATTGGAAATCAAAGTTGAAATTAGCAAATATTCGAAATTACCTATACATAGATAAATGTGTAATAAGTCTTATTGCTGCAATGCATCAAATGGAATTCCACAGCAGTTAAGTAGAATGTATAAGTTAAGCTTAACCGACAGCAGTTTGATTTTTAGGTTATATATCTAAGAAGAATATGCTAATCAATAGAAAAAAAAAGTTGCTTAGGATTTATATCAGAGTCCATGATAGACGGGCTGGCGTTTTTCAGCGAACGCTTTCATGCCCTCTTGACGATCCTTGGTTGAAACAAGGGAACGATAGCATTCGGCTTCTAAGAGGAGGCCGTCCTCGAGGCTCGGGGCATCCAAGCCCTGTTGGATGGCCTTCTTAGCTTGGCGTACTGCCAAAGGTCCCTTAGTAACCACTTCTTCCGCAAATCGTATGGCTGCAAAAAGTCCCGGACGTTTGCGCCAAATAGCATCAGGTACCTCAGCAGGTTCGAGTGCAGAGTTTACTAGACCATAAGAAGCAGCCGTCCTTGCATCGAAAACTCGGGCAGCTAGCACGAGCTCTTTGGCCCGAGCTGAGCCAATTAGGCGCGGCAAGCGCTGGGAGCCACCAGCACCTGGAAGCAAGGCCCAGTGTGTTTCGACAAGACCTAGCGAAGTGCGGGGCATATGACCTGCGAAGCGGAGATCACAGGCTAAAGCAAGTTCGAGGCCACCGCCCAAGGCAGCGCCATCAATGGCGGCGATCGTTGGCATTGGCAAGCAATGGATGCGCTGGAACAGGGAGCGCAAGGAACCTACAACACCAGGAACCTCAGAGTCTGTGTATTTAGCACGTTCTTTGAGGTCAGCGCCGGAGCAAAATACATTGTCTACCTTTGATTTCATAAATTGGTGGTAGAAAAAAAAGCTGAACATTAGCTATAAAACAAGGAGAGTTGCTGCAAGACATTGACTTAAGAGAATCGGATTTGGAGTATTTACACGAATGAATGGACATTAGAAATATTTGGGCTCAAGCTCAACTCCTAGTTTAGGCATAGGTTTAATATTTTTACCAAATAAACAAACCAACTAGAGGCAAGGGATATCAACGAAATATGTACAAACAAGTAAAGAAATGCTGTTATAATGGTTTAGCTTCAAAATGATTGTAATTAGATCTCTTTATAATACAAACCAATAAGGAACCAAAGTGAGCAGATTCTATGAAATGAAAATAGAGGCTCACATAGATTGGCCGAGCAAAATGATGACTCTAGGTCGGAAACTATGCCTACGATAAACAGAGACCAAATGAAGCGTCTGCGAAGAGCGCGTAATTCGATATTATCCTTATCTCAAACTGAGGCGAAGTTATTATAACTTTTCTTACAACACTTCGCTCTAAAATAGCATATTTCGTTAAAATATTTGCCCTCTGCTCGATGATGATAAGCATAGAAATGCATTGATGCTCAATGTTTGTTCTATTTAAATAAATATGGCCAAGCAGGAGAATTAAGATATATGTATAAACATATAGTCATATATATATATATATAGTGTTCTGACACCAACAGAGGCGGTAAGGCGCGAATCATGATCTGAGCGCACCCAAGCATAGATACATTGGAATGCCTATGAAATATTTCGAAGAAAGTCTATATTCCATTTTCATAAGAAAAAAACAATTTAATACGGAATAGCTTTTAGGATAACTCTGTCCAGTACAAAAAATAGCGCAACATAATTCCATAAGCCAAAGGGATATATAAGATAATAAACAAAAGCCAATCATATATCGAAAGCCTTTTATCGACTATCTAAATCAAATTTTCCATCAATTAAAAATCTTAATAAGACGTAAATTGAATTAGTCAGACAGCAAATGAAGGCATGAAAGAAAGATGTTGTAATTGGAAACTTAGTGTAGTGACACTTTAAAATAAATTGTCAAAGACAAATAATAGCAAATAAAGCGGAACAATCGATAGATGGACTGACCAAGCTGCAGATGATCAACGCGCGGGATTTTTTATCTTTTTCTAGTTCTGATACTGAATCTGATATATCCCTAACAAAACACGCGCTAAGTGCATTCTTATTAGCTTTTCGATTAAGCGCTAGAAAGTAGATCCCGTCAATCCTTTTACAGTCAAGAATAACTTCACTACTAGAAGAAGCGATAGACTCAATATAGGATGGATCAATCCTTGTGGAATATTTTGATGAATTTATAGGACATGCAACGCCGACAGGCAAAATTGTGGATCTGAAAGAAAGACCCTGTGCTGAGATATATAAGATCCAGACATACGGAGATTGAACGAAGGAAAGGGTGCATCGTGAGTGCAGGCCAAAGAAAACGTTGGATAAGCAGGCAAAGTCGCTCCAACAGTAGTTGAAATTTCGAGAAAGCCAACAAGTTATCAAAAAGAACAAAACCTTTGTTTTTATATTTAAAAATGTTAAATAATATTAGTTAAAGAATATATGTGAAATAAAAATTATAAACTTTGCTGGGCATTTCAATTCCTTATGAGTACTGCCCTGAGGGCTGTCCTCCTCTTGCGG